TAACCGAGGAAAGTTCGAAAAAAATAGAACCATTTAAAATTAGATCTTAAAGCTGCATCTACATGCAACCAATATTGACTAATCAACTCCAGAAATCCATTTGACTATCCACTGTCACAAAAATCTCAAAACACTATTTAATCACCTATAACAGTACTATTAGCAGTCGAAAAGCGGGACACAACTAGATCGCTACGACATCGCTAGTAAGCGTCCGCTCCAAACTTCCCCGGGCGAACTTTGACGTGGACAGCAGACGGCGTCCCGCTAATTGCAACAAATGAGATTGATTGTAACGGACACGGCACACGCTGACTTAGCTCCGACAACTAGTTGTTGTTATACGCTTTTCCCGGCTCTAATTTCACGCGTTTGGCTAAAATAAAAGTGGTTAAGTATTTATAAAAGAAAGAAGAATAATTTCGAAATTCTTACAAATAAGTTACAAAAAATGATGGTCCGTACAAGTGATAAAATTTTAAAATGAACAAAGTTTTTAAATGAATTATTTATTTGGCTTTGTGTAGATACATTTTTAATTAAGACTTCAACTTGTGTTTTATGGGGCCTTAAACTGTCAAACACCAAGCGGTCACCGGTGACCGCAACCTATTGTTCTATAATTGTGTCTACAAAACCGGTACTCGACGAGTTAAATAATACACACTTAGATAGAAAGAGAAACCCAATATCCACATAAAATAAAATACAATTTCTGTACTTAATCAGTTTACTAACTCCCGTTCCGTTAAACAACAAAAGATGTTAAAAGTTAAGCTGCGTAGGAGATCGTAAAGAGCAAAATTCGACAGCTAATCTAGTTAAGATGTAAGCATCAGTGGGTGGCAATAAGTTGGCTTACCGTCTACCCGATAATTAACAGACGGTCCTGAAGATAGTGGCGCGAACGACTACACCCCGTCTAATTGATATGTACGACGGACATTGAACTAGAATGTTTCACAGGAAAATGGAAAAAGATTTGAGATCTTATATGATCTTTGTGATTTTGCTAGGAATGTGGTTTTAGGATTGATGTAAGGTATTTTTTAATTTTAAATTAACCTTCAAGTCTTGGCGTGGTTTACTCAAAAGAGTATATAATAAGTATAGGGGACTCCAAAGAGTATAATAAGTATAGGGGGGGACTCATACCATAAATGGTGACGTGACATATGTCAAACACCTTAAATTCCCCTATACTTATTAATACTCTTTGCCGTAAATAATCGAAATGGATTATTTTTATTTACTGATTTGCACAATATTTACTTGTATTATGATCTGTCCATTATTATTATATTAAGGAAGTGCAAAAAAAAAACAATTCGAATGAAGTCAGCGGTTTTCGGTTCATATTCAATAAACTATACTTCTAATAACTTAAAAAAAAAATTATAATCTTAGCTACAATACAATTTTATTTGGACGATTTTTTTGGAAGTCGTCTATGATCTCACCCACGTCAGTAGTTAAAGTTTAAGTACCTACTTACCATGCATATCTTAATCTCCGAAGGAATTACAAAAATGCACATAGTGTTTTCAATAAAGAAAATCGCAATTTAAATTGTCAAAATCGTCCATTTTGGCCTCGATCTTAGAGCTACACACCAAACAGGCACAGTTCCAAACTCGGTGCTACTACTGAAAATTTCCAAAATTGCAAAATAGAGGGTATTGTTTATTATAATTTGCAAAAAAACCTCACTTGCTCTACTTTCTTACTTCCATTGAGATCAATATGCTAATGCTTCGTCCAATATACATAATTAATTGAGATCCATTACTTATAGCTTTTTATTGGGGTCATCACTAGACAAATCAAGATTTGTCTCATCGTGGCTGGTGTGGGAGTTAGAATAATTTCTGAACTAAATCATGGTCATCTAGACTTGTACCACTATTTATATGTATAAATTTAACAAAGACTATGTAGTCTTTGGTAAATTTGCATGCTTATCGAATAATGTTTATAACGATTATTAAATTGATCTTTTATAAATGAAATAACTTTGATGACGTCATCGTCACATCGTTTAAAAAGTCATAGTGGATATAGTCATCCTTCTCATTACCAGCATTGCTTTGTACAGCATTATTGTAGAGAAGAATTGCGGCCGAGTATCGCTGGGCCAGGACCAGCTCGATAATTACATGTAATCAGATATTTTCTGTAAGCGCTCCACTCACCCTCGTCTCGCCTATGCACTCCCCACTAATGAAACAGAATCCCCTACCATTTGTACGGGGATTTTAAAATCTCACTTTGTTCTCATTTGAAGAGTTCTGTCACTTTTACTCGCCACCATTTTTTTAAGTCATTAATATATTATATAAATCTTATAGATAGTATTTAACCCTTATAAATAATCTCGAATTGTCGAAAAATCATCCGTAGGTACATAATCATAGTAAAAGATATCTTTTAATCACTATTGTAAGCTTAATGTCAACATTTATACGCCGTACTGATAATTTAATAAGACAATATTAGGTAATTATATTAGAAAGGAGTAAACAGGTTTATAGAAGGTCGGCAAGGCGCATGTAATGCCTCATGTATTGCAAGCGTTCATAGGCCACGGTAACCGCTTACCATCAGGTGGGCCGTGTGCATGTGCACTTCTTGCCACCATCTTAGTATACAAAAAATGAACAACGGTAACAAAATGTTACTATGCTGCAGACCAGTCCTTAATAAATCGAATAAAAGCCAAAGAATTACATTAAACGATTCATATGATTTAAATTTCATAAAGTTTGAAATGACACAAACTTACTATTTCAAAGTATTCCAAAAAGGAATACTAGAACAGTGGTAACTACCTCATACTCATAGCAAGTTGAAACAGCAAACTGGGTTACTGGTGTGTAGTGGGCCAGTCAATCCATTCTGTTTACTGCGATATGCGTAGAACTCTACAAAGCCTCTGCGACCCGAGTACTTTATACAGCAAAATATATATTAATCCGCAAAATTGAAATCGGTGGTCTAGCAATCGTTGGTGGTATGATAGATATGGCTAAGTACATTTAAAATTTTTAAGTTTAGAAGTCTGATGTATCTACCTAGTGTCAGAATCCTAGAATCTTGATGTTCTGCGTATTATAATTTACGAACCTATTATAAATTCTAAATGAAGCAAGGATACGATCTAATAATCTTGAAGTACCTATTCAAAACCAATACATATACTCGGTAATCACTTTCGTTGTCATAAGTTAGCCTCGAACATAATTATCTTAAAATAATTTTAAAGAGGCAAAAAAAACTCACAGAACTAAGAACATAAAGTGAGATTGCAATAATTAGTAATGAGCAAGACTGTCGGTAGCCCGCTAACCAGACGGCGGACTCAAACTGCGACCCGCCCGACTGTCACCTCGGCTCGGTCTTACGCGCGTTTATCTTTTTAATTGTACACCCTCCCCCCTCAACTCCCACCTTTATACCCCCGCTCCCCCTTGTTACTACCTCGTTAGATTTAGTGAATCACTCATACGTCTTCTTATTTATTGCTTAAAGAAGATTTAGGCTCGGTCCTCTCTTAAGTATTTTTGTTTGTTGTTAATTATTTTTTTTCTTCCTCCTTTTAGCTATAACTTGACACTGTCTTGTAGGATTGCCTTCTCGCTCGGCTAAATCCGGTCGAATATTATTAGTACTTTCGTCCAAAACTAATTCATAATATTAACACAGAACCTGGTGGTCATCGGTATATGGATATCTATGGTATATGGTACCTAATACTTAATTATGGTAGAAAGTAATATGGCGTTGTTTTAGCGACCTATTATGTAGTTATATTTATTTTAAAGACTACCGCTACCTAAACAATGACCTTTAATTTTGTGCAAATCAAAAATTATTCCAGTAACATACAGCAATCATGTCTCATTTCCTTAAAAACGTGTCACCAAATCTTTTTCGAGTCTATTCAAAACATTGTCACCATAAGTGCACAAATAGCCTCTTGCTGTTTCCTTCTCTTTTAATGTTTTGTGATAAGGTCTATTTTACTTTGAATCAGGCGAAATTTAAGAGGATTAACAATTAGTCGCAAAATGTACGCACCAACGCTTAGTGGGTGTTCAGGGGTGGTAAATCGGCGGACGATAACACCACACAGGAGATATCAGAAGGTACTCGTATTTGAAAATAAAATCCAGTTTCTAATAATCGCTATAATAACTACTGAAAGTTGAAACTTTGCAATACTAAAATAAGGAACTACTCTCACAGTAACTGCCTCGAGGTGGAATCTCAGATTTCATTCGTAGGTACAAATTGTTTTTTCGATTTTCGTATTTCAAACAATTAGCTGTTATTGTGTATTGTGCCCGGGGTTAACATTTTATGTATTCTTTCCATTGGAAGAATAACAAGCGTGATTACTATTTATTTACGACTTAAGCACTACTTTACTACTATTAGCTTACTTAACACTACATTAATTATCTTCCCCTCGAGGATAAGATATCTTATTTTTTTATCATGAAATGCCATTTCATTAATGCATTTTCTAAATCTAGACGAAATTATACTTCTGATGTTCTTATACACGATGACTTTGCTTTGTTTTTCATTAGACGCTGCTTATGGGGCACCGTCGTCGCCTCGCTAAGCACTTAACTACCAGTACTGACTTAGTATTCAATGTGAAAAACGTTTTCACCGTCCCTTTGACGGCAGATGAACCTTTTGTTCTTAGGTCTACAATGTCACTGGAGATATTTCATTCAATGTAACGTTTGAATATCTTAAGGCTTTTCTTCTTAATAATTTTCTTATTTAATCGTATGTGGATATTGATGGAAACTTTTAAAATGTTACATTCGGGGTCAATATCGTATAGGTGATAAAAACTTTTCATTTATATCAAAACTATATTTAGTTCAAAATCATCTTGACAGCGTCAGCGTGTCAAAATCAAATGACATAAATCAATGAAATCTCAGACTGTTGAACCATGTTAGGTATTTAAATTATAAATAAAACTAAAAAAAAAAACGTTACACATTCACTAAACCATTTCTATACGATGGACCCATCACCAGATATGCTACAACCACCAAAAGTTAAGTCTTGCACACAAATAAAAGAAACTGTTCCATTCGATATTTTCGAAAGTTTATTCTTCTGCTAGATCAGCCATGCAGAAAACTTCAGGAAAGTCGAACATCGCTGGGAATGACTTCCATCGGAAGGGTGTTATGTCAAACATGCCACGACCCATTAAACCAAAACCCCAAAACAACCAAAATATAAAATGTGAACTCGACACTAATGAAGACAATGAAGACAGCAGAAACAAAAACAAATCTAACATACAAGAAGCTGCAGCTAAAACAAAGAAGAAAAAACAAAGGGTTGATTTTGGCCCTGCAGAAGATGCCCCAACCAGACCTATTATAGAATGCTTTATTGATAAGAACTACATAAATAACCCCGTCATCGTTGAATGTAGAATGAAGAAATGTACTCCGATTAAGAAGATAAACTTTAATGTACCAAAAGGTATGTAATTTGATCCTTTACCTGAACTTCCTATCATTATTAAGTCAACTCCTTTAATATGCATTGTAAATACCCTTCTATTTGTATGTTATCTGGAAGATGAGAAAGTCAAATCGGTGCATTATGATGAGGTGATGAATTGGCGTGACTACCACCAGCTATCAGTTATTCATAAATTTATGGATGACTTAGAAGCTGACTTCCCTTCACTGTGCACTACAGGGATCATTGGGACGTCAGTAGAAGGTCGATTGCTAAAGGTGACATTTTTCTTTTGAATATCTGCACCATTAGAAAGTTTAACTTTAAAAAAGTACTGTTTCTCCCACAGCTCATAGTTTTTGCTTCATTCGTTGATGTAGTTAGATCATCAGACCTTCCTCACCAATTGTTAACATATAATTTAGAATTTACATACAATGAATTGTATAAATAATTTAATGAGCTGTTCTTTTTAAGCATCAGTTTATTCCTATCTGTACCTAGATCCTAAAGATTTCTAACAGCAACGCAAGCAACTCAGCGGTGTGGGTGGACGCGGGTATTCATGCGCGAGAGTGGATCGCGCCCGCCGTCAACACGTACCTCGCCAACCATATCAGCAGGAACTTTGACACCCTTCCTGAGTGCATCAGAAATAAGGACTGGTAATTACTTTATAAATCTGAACCAAAGTTATCGACATAGCCCAAAGGATCAGTAAGCTGAAGTGGCAGTGGGCCGGTCACATTTGTCGAAGAACCGATAACCGTTGGGGTAAACGTGTTCTAGAGTGGAGACCGCGTCTGGGCAAACGCAGTGTAGGGCGCCCTCCAGCTAGGTGGAGTGACGACATCTGCAAGGTGGCTGGCAGTGGTTGGATGAGAAGAGCTGAAGACCGAGCTCAGTGGCGTGCCATAGGAGAGGCCTATGTCCAGCAGTGGACGAATACAGGCTGATGATGATGAAATCTGAACTACACCTTTGGTAAAACAACACTAACACTTTTCTGTATTTTTGTTACGTACTTCCAAAAGCAAGAATTCTTCTCGTTCTTGGTTCGGATAAGTATTATTTAACTTCTAGAATAAAGACCAACAAGTTCCATAACCATGAACTATACATCAGGCACACCAAACCTAATTGATGTAACCCTTAAGGCCAATTTTGACCGCCTCTTAAATTCTAGGTATTTTCTACCAGTGGTGAATCCAGATGGATACCACTATTCGCACACCACTGATCGCTTGTGGCGTAAAAATCGTGCATGGCACGGCGGTCAATGCGTGGGAGTAGACCTTAATAGAAACTTCAGGTTGGCTACTATTGTATTTTCATTTTATTCTATTTTTTTGTAGTATTTTTCCAACTAAATAGTTTCGAGGTCAACTCACTTTCTCCAGTTATATCATATATATATCTCCAGTTGTCATGTTTCATAGTATCGGTTGGGGTGGCCGTGGATCGTCAGATAAACCCACAAATGCATTCTACAGAGGACCTGAGCCATTTTCTGAGCCAGAATCATCAGCTATACGGGTACTAATTTATTTTATTTAGGTATATCGGTTTAACAATCATTGTTATTAACCGAGTAAACAGATAAACAATGAATACTAATAATAGATTATTGATCGTAAATAATGAATTCGAGCATTTCTTAAGAATATTGATACAGGTAATAGAGTAATTAATATTCTTTAAAAACGAATGTCTACTGATATGTATCGTAGAGGAACGCGTGTTTGTTAAATATAAGTAAACAGATTTAAAAGCAGTTGAATACAAAATATTTTAACTTAAATATAAAAAGAATTCGTATTCACGATAAACCTGCAATTCGTATGGTATTGATAGGTAGTGCGAGGAAGCAGTGACTATTCAAAACATTTAGATCGTTCACAATGATCAGTGGAGTGAAGCATCCGCGATCATTTGCCTGTAATATGCCGTTGATGCCGATTTCGTGTCGTTGCCATTGCACGTAGAGATTAAACTGCAAACAGGGTTTAGCCGTAAATCAATTTTCACGATGATTTTATATCATTCTGTTACATTAAATTAATTCGCTATTTGCGCTTTAAAGCGCTACCTGCAATTCATGGAATTTTCATCATTTTGTAGCCATTTTGCTGGGTATGTCAGCTTTCATTTCTGGTTAATGATTAAATAATACAGTAGTAAGATAATTTATAGAAATATATTGCTCATTAGTTACACTTTTTCCGTAGGATTATGTATTGTATATTTTAACGTAGTTTGGGAAGTAATCTTCTCAATAATGTTAAAACCCAATAACATTATTTGTAGGACATTGATGGCGAACATAATTAAGTTCATAAAATCTGAATCTGTGACCTTTCTCGATATTGTTAACGTTTACCTTTCAGGACATATTCATGAACTCAGGAATAAACTTCAAAGTATACATAACACTCCACAGCTACGGACAAATCATAATATTCCCGTACGCTTGCAGTCACGAACTGGCTCCAGATTATGTACGTCTTCTCCAAGGAGCTACTGCCATGTCAAAGGTAAGTAGCTGAATCAAAACAAATGTTCAAACAAACATATTGATATTTGAGGTATATATTTCATAAGAAAAATAACGTAATCATTTTGCTCACCAGGCCATTTATGATACTAATGGCAACACATACAAAGTTGGCATTTCAAGAGACGTAATGTACGGAGCAGCCGGTACTAGCAACGACTTTGCCCATGCAGCAGCCGGTATACCTTACTGCTACCTTATAGAACTCAGAAGCAAGAAACACAAGTTCCAACTACCAAAAGAACAAATACAAGAGACTGGCAACGAAATATACAACTGCGTTCAAGCGCTGATGGAATTTGTCGATTCCTACTCATCTAAGAAACAACTACACAAAGAAAATTTATTAGTAGATAAGAATAAGCTGACAGTATATAACAGCTCATCCGATATTGCTCAGACTGATTCCCACATAAGGAAACGTAAATCTTACGATAGGATAAACTATTCCTATGTAAAGGAAAGTGATTCTTTCGTGCAACGGGACAACTCATATATTAGATGGCCCAATGTAGCCTTGAGGAAGGAAAATCCTATCCATATGACTGATGACTTTACTAGAGTCGGTAGTGATAGCCTCGACCATTATCTAAGGGACGAAAATGATGTTACAGCACAAACAATAGAATGGGATGATGATGATTATTTCTATGAGGATACGAAACTAATCAGACTTGCAAGCGACAGTGATTCGTCAATGTGCTTAAATAATAAATCCAATCGGAAAAAATATTATTTTCGTGATGCTAGTGGTACTTATATGGAGAAATCAGATTCTCATCGCCGGAAAGATGTAGATAAAGCTGATTCTTTCCGTTATGAAGATGATATTTTCTTGAAAGACTCTACTCAAGACTTCGGGAATGACTTTTTTTTCTTGGCAGATAGTCAATCACCTCCTAATAATGGCAGTCAGAGCATGATAAATAAAGTAGAGTCAATAAATAAATTGGATGTGTTTACGAAAGAAACCAATGCTCAGGTGTATTCTGATGATGATAATAATAATGTTTCCTTGGATACTAACGATTCTTTTTGGCAGAGAGAGAATTCTCTGGTTTTGAAAAACTTATCTGAACAGAGACAGCGCGCCAATAAAGGACAAAGTACAGTTTCTTCTAGTACCTTTTCGAAGGTATGCATGTTTAAAAAGTGGTATAGTCTCGAGTGAATAGGTTGCTTGTGGGCAGGTATCCATCCTAGGTCGCATTATCGCTAACTAGCTACTCTACATCGCTGACTAGATAGCGGAGAAACGCCTACCCATTACCAAAACTAATCGTTATTCAACGGTTCTGCATTCTGTTTTGATAAACTTATTGCTTTTATATTTCAACTTGTTGGTTAATAAGTAACTGAAGCTATTCCTATTCGTACCACTTTCCACCTCTTCTTCCCACCGTGCAGGGCAGCGCTTCCTCGATTTTTCGTGCATAATTCAAAGACGCCCTTGGATAATCCTTAATTATAAAACCTTTGTTAAAAAAAACTATAAACTATGTAAGAAACTCCTTCATTGATGACAATGTCACCTATGTATTTGACACTGCACTTCAAAATTTTCAGTCACTTTAAAAATACCCGGATTTTCAGCCACAATAACAGTTTCAAAATTCTTAGTGCTCCATACACACAATCCTTTTTATCTAAAAGTTTATATAACCCCATCAAAGTGGCACCAACGGTTCCTAACACCCAAGTATGGGAAGTGAGATTAGTTAAGGAAGGTCAAAGACATTTTGTGAAAACATTGGATACTGTAGGAGGTGCGTACTCCGACAGTATTACACCAAACACGAACGAAGATAGTTAATTTAGTAAAAAAAAATTACAAACAAACAAAAGATTAAAACTAAAAAGCAAAAATAACTATTATTAGGCACAGACTTCTAACCTATCAGTGGGTGGGTAACTTATCAGTACGTGTGACTAATAATATAGTTAGTTCTTGCCTTTTAGTTTTTAGCTTTTGATTTATTATAATTTTGCTTTTTGAAATTGTTTTTTTAAACGCAGTTCTTTATTTATATGTTTTATTTTAGTACAAGGCTAAGTATACAGACCCGGTATACTACGTATAACCCACATGGGTGCAAAGCTCTCATCAGTATCAATTATTCAAGCCCAAACACCAGGTAGCTACTGTTAACCGTTTAGGAATTCCCTTAGCTATCATACTTCATCGGCAGGCCCCAAATGACAATCACACCCCATCTGGGTGTTAAGTTCTCATCAATATAAATTAATCATGCCCAAATACAAGGTAACCGCTGTTAACCGTTGAGGAGTTCCCTTAGCTATCATACTACTTCTTCATCAAGCCCCTATTAATAATCACACCCCATCTGGGTGTAAAGTTCTCATCAATACAAATTATTTATAGCTCAAGCACAAGGTAGATACTGTTAACCGATAAGGAGTTCCCTCAACTATAGTACTACTTCATCATCAAATCCCTAATAGTAATCACACTCCATCTAGGTGAAATGTCTACGCTCCTCACATAATCGGTTTTTGTGTCTGTCCTGTCCTTCCCACTAACTTTATTCATTCTTCTTTCTTCATACAAGTCATTTCTCTGTGGAACACGGTTCCCGCTGATGTCAGAACCGCAACCAGCCGTTTGAATTCCAAGCGGAGGGCACGTGAGTACATTAGCAGGAAGATGGAAGTTTCTGAACATCCTATAAAATATCTCATCTTGTAGTATTCTAGGATAATTTTATATATGTAAGTATATTCATATGCATATATATATTATTATGTACGTATTTTGTTTATGCTTATGTAATAATTTTGATAGTTATACCTTTACCTCTCATAACCTTTTTGTAGCTTACCACCTACCACATACATTTCTGCTCTACCCAACGGATGACCGGCAGAATGCTGTTAGCATTAAGTCCTCCTTATGCAATTATATAAAACAAATAAATAAATAAAACTCTCATCAATACTTATAATTCAAGCCCAAATACAAGGTAGCTACAGTTACCCGTTGAGGACTTCCCTTAGCTACCATACTTCTTCATCAGCAGGCCCCTAATGACAATCACACCCCATCTAGGTGGAAAGTTATCATCAATACAAATAATTCAAGTCCAAACACTCCAGACTAAATTGACTAAGAACATAATTAAATAGGGACTGTCATTATTATAGCTTTAGAACTCTTTCGGGAACTATTGTGACAAATCGGATAATTCTAAAACTTAAAATTAATACTGACTTCGCAGCAATAAATATATGGAAAGAGGAACGTAGTACAATGGATATTATGGTGAATGGCCCTCGGACTGCCCAAGTGGCTGGCATACTCCATGAAAGGGACATACCATACTCAATAGCCATACCAGACGTGTCGGTCCTGCTGGAAAGGGAACAGGGTCATGCGGTGTCAAAGACCTTTAAGAGGTCTTCTACTGTCGGAGACCGTAAGTACAGAAATATTGTACATTTTTATGTCACCAACAATTACGTGATGACAGAAGTGTAACATCAGCTTCTCATCAAAAACATTACACGTACAATAATTTATAAATATTTATAATTATCTATTCGTTTAAATGGTAACATAACATCAACATCACGCCTTTTATCCCCGAAGGGGTAGGCAGAGGTGTACATTATGCCACTGTACAATGTAACAACCACTTTTCACGATATATGTTATGAGTCCGATGTAATAGGGGGTGAGCCTATTGCCATATACAGGGCACAATTCCAGACTCCGTGCTACTACTGAGATTTTTTTTAAATACCCAATATTACTTATCCCGACCGGGAATCGAACCCGAGACCCCTTGCCCGGCAGTCGCACTTGCGACCACTCGGCCAACGAGGCAGTCTAAATAGTCTTAAATGGTAGCTACTAGATATGTAGAAACCCATTCTAGCTTAATTCGGGTATTATTATCCTATGTAGTCGATTAATGTGTTAATAACGAACGATAATAACGAACATTACAAAAATTATATTATCCCACTTGATTAAGTAGTTTCGTATTTCACTCGCTCGTATTGTTCGTATTTCAGTGATTCATTTTTATTTAGATAGATAAATTCATTTATGGTATTAACTTAACTTGTTACAATACAATATAAATTCCTAACATATATGTATAATATAGCGAGCAATTAAGTAATCAAATTATCAGTAACAGTATTACATTCATTAGTACTATTAACAAATTAAAACGTAATGAACTCAGTATTATGATAGCCAGACCAGCGCGCGGTCACAAATTAAATGATTGGCCCAATACAACGATTAGTGAAATAAAACCACGAAGTAATCATAAAGTAAATGACGTTCAAAACGAGCGGTTTATTTTAAACATTTTAGACAGTTAATAAATCTTCCTGTTGAAGTAATAAGAGTGATTTTACCTTAACCGATTTGACACGTGACCACATTTTTAGATAAGAAGATGGATTGGCAGACTTACCACAGACTGGACACGATTTATGAGTTCATGGACAACTTGGCAATTGAATATCCGTACTTGTGTTCTGTGAGTGTGATCGGGAAATCATCGGAAGGGAGGGATATAAAGGTAAGCGTTCATAACATTTTTCATGTGTCATAATATTGTGACAGTCCAATACTGGACTGTAGACTGCTTCGCGATAGGAGAATTTGCCATAAAGTTCATGCTTAGCAGGATTAGTAATCACAGTTTAAAAGGTTCAGGTTTAAGGTGCCCGGTGTCTGTCAAATGTGTAGTCCATTGACTTTTACTAAATCGCGTGAAGAGTAGGCGGGCAGCACCGATTGCTTACCATCAGGTGATCCGTCTGCTCATTTACCGGCTTATACCATAAAAAGAGGTGGTGCCACAGGTACTATTCTACCACCACAAGATGATCACTTGGCGAACAGTAGGTTGATACCTTTTCCTCATTTTCAGTTTTAAATACCCATGTTTACCTGTTTTTGTTCATTTGTTTAGAACTCATAGGGAAACTCCAGGTTGATAACAGTTGCTATATATACTGACATGAACTAGGTATCACCTATTTTTATCTACACAAGTACTCATACAAACTCACTTCAACTTAACTGTAGAACTAAATGACGATATTTTATAAGCAAATTTTAAGCTCTATGCGAATTTCGTCTTAATTCCTCTCCATAACACAATTTTTGAGAATAAGTTAGGTGATTAATTTTTATTGTAATGTCCGTCTAGTAGATTATTTAAAAACATTAGACACGTATTTTTGATCTTCTTACGGAAACGAATAGTTCTGAACATATATTGATTTGAAATATCGCATGACATCACTTTTGAATACGATTTGTACTCTAAAATGACGTCGCTACCTCCCACTCCTAACTTTTAATTCGTTTTACGTAAGTATTTTCTTATGCGACAAAATAAAAAAATGCTTGTCTAATATTTTATCATTTCCTAACTGACGGACTAATTAGATTTTTAATTATCATACTTTGTCATCATCCCTATTCTAAACTTATGATTGGGTGCCCAGAGAAACCACCTATTCTATAGTTGCACTTATAGTCCCATCGAGGCAATATAGTCCCATCTTTTTCAACAATGGACATCTTTAGCAGTGAAAAATGATTATAAATATGCTCTTCTAATAACTTACCGGATATAATACTAGTTCCTTATATTATTTTACCATATTTATTTTTATTCAGATGTTAAAAATATCTAATGGTAATTCGAACAACGTGGGCGTTTGGATGGACGGTGCCATACATCCTCGAGAGTGGATCAGCCCTGCAGTAGTCACATACCTAGCTGATAGGATCGTTAGGACTTTTAATGAACAACCAGACAGCGTCACTAATAAGGACTGGTAAGAAATATTTTATAATCTTTAGAGCTTAAAATTTACACACGTAAGCTGTCTCTTTATTTGATGAATCGACAGGCACTGGTGAGACTAATTGCCCCTCACATTAGAACGTTAGCAGCGCGACAGTAGCGCCGCTTGCGCATCGCAGTTGAGTTCATTATGGCGCAGTTCATTTCTAAAACCCATAAATATTATTCATATCTCTAGTAAACATCAATTCAAATACCAAACGTCATCCACAACGGCCAGGAGATAGCAAAACGATTTATTTACAACACTAGCTCATCGCCGACTGAGACACGCGGTGGCAGCGCGCGACCGGCTTCTGTTCAAACTTTGAAATTCTGGCAGCGCGACTCTCGCGCTGTTAGTCGTCTGAATGTGAAAGAGCTTAAATCTCCCGCAATATTCAAACATACATATTATATATGCGATTGTCTTACAACAATGAAAGAATAATGCACGTACAAATGATAAGGTTGGATAAAATAAATTACACGTTATTATGCAATAGCTTGAATGTCTACTAAATGTCTTCATTGGATCATATTTTGATGTATTTCTCAATATCGAATTGGTTTTTATGTAATGCCTTGCGGATTAAAATTTCAATATATTTGTAAACGCAGATTAATTAGATCCTGTAAATGCTTAACATAATTCTCTTGCTTTACATACAGGTACATTCTACCAGTGATGAACCCAGATGGCTACGAGTACACTCACGTGCATGATAGGATGTGGCGAAAGAACCGAAAGCGCTACGGGGAATGCGTGGGAGTAGATCTAAATAGAAACTTCAGGTAAACCAGTTATTACTGTAATGTGTTAATATGAAATCTTATACTATTACGCTTGGTATTTGTAAATACCAAGCGTAATAGTATAAGATTTCACGCCGCGCATATGTTTATTCTTATAATATGTATATTATAAGAATAAACATATGCGCGGCGTCACTGCGGCGCTAACGTCGAGTATAATTCATTTATTATGCGACGCTAGGCGCGGTGTCTTAGCGGCACATACGTTTATCGAACGCCTACCCTGGACAAACGCTAGTACGAAGGCGCTCTTATTTGTGTAAACTTCCAGTATTTCGTAATTACATGCTTGACCGTGTCACAGTAATAGTGAAACTATAATAAAAAATGAGTTTTGTTTTAGCTATGGTTTCGGTGAGAAAGGAGAAGAAGGTTCGTCAGAAGACCCTGGTAATGTGTTCTACAGAGGACCCAAAGCCTTCTCCGAGCCAGAGACACAGGCTGTCAGGGTTGGTAATCCTCCAATCATAGCTATTGAATACAGGATGATACTTTGTTAAGCATTATCTTATAAGAGAACAAATCAGAAGATTTTTGTGGTATTTCGCTGAAAACAGTATTATATTGCAAACCCATATAAATAAATGAATATGTGTTTCAGCGTCAGATACTAGAAGCTGACACGACGTTCAAGGTGTTCCTGTCTTTCCATAGTTACGGAGAAGTCATCATATTCCCGTGGGGATACACTAGTGAACCTTGTCCTGACTACGTCGAGCTGTTAGAAGGAGGTACCGCTATGGCCAAAGTAAGAAGATTATACCTTATTATTTTGCGATAAAGTTGAAAGACTACTTAGGAACTTTTATAGAATGGGTTACCTTGATTAACTTCCACATTAAATATGTGATTGCTTTAATGTTTACATGACGCTTACCTTCCACAAGCGTAGTCATCACAAAATTGCTTCAATAATTTTCCAGGCAATCTTCAACACAAGCGGTCGTACATACAAAGTTGGAAGCACAAAAGACCTTATGTACTACGCAGCAGGGACGAGTATCGATTGGAGTTATGCCGTCACCAATATCCCGTATTCTTACATGGTGGAACTTAGAGGAAAAACACATAGGTTCTTGCTACCAAAAGAGGAGATAATTTCAACTGCCACAGAAGTATTAAATGGTGTGTTAAGACTTATGGACTTTGTAGACAGACGATGCACAGGAACACAGTCTTGCGTCTGTCCAAAATAGACAATGAATTTAAAATAACTTGAATCTCTTGAGACCTTAAGATAGAAGTAACTTAGACCACTGAAAAGAATCCTTAACTACATCGATATAGAGACGGAATAAAAGAATAAGTGACAAGAATAACCTTTACATATACTATTGAATTTTAAAACACTAATTTCAATGGACTAGGTTACTTCATGATCTAAAGTTCTCTTTTAACAGTGATATTTAAACTAATCAAGTTTTACAATCTACGTTTAAGTTATTGTCTCAAATTAATACACTATTTATTGCGAAAAAGTTTAGACGTAGCATTTTTCAATTACCACTGGTACTAATAACATGTTTACTTAGGTAAATTTTCCAAACATATGCCATTTTCCACAATTTTTATAATCTAAGTAGGTACAAGAAGGTCTTGCAATATTGTAATAAATATGACGCAAATAGTGCACATAATAGACCTGTTTGTACATTAAAAATAAATATTTGATGTCCAGGAATTAATGAAATGCTCAGTACGTAAATACACGGCGATAAAACATTTCATTTCCATACATTGATAATGCCTGGACGCAATGACCTGTGCCAAATAGCTCGCGCTGTGGTTTCGACTATAATGGACACAATCCAAAACTTTTTACTCGCACAGCTTTATAAAATATTTATTTTTGTGGCTACTTTTTATGAATACATTATTGTTATAGTACTATTATACTCACATTGACATCTATACTGTAAATTAAGTAATATTTTATCAAATAAAACACTGCAGTATAAAAATTTCGATAACTTTATTTACACTTTTTGCATTATCTTATAATACAGTCAACAATTCATTAAACGTTACGATTTGAAATTCACATTCAGTTATCTAACGTAAAAACACCTATCGATCGACAATAAATACTATTTAATCCTATCCTTAAGACGCGCACATTTTTCAAGTGTCTGAATGTCTCACTCGGGACGGGAATGCCGAACGTTTAAAGTTGAAACTGTCCACTACACGTATTACCATAACCACCGTTATTAAAACTTCCACATAGTAACACTTTAAGTTCATAATTGTTCGTATTTAGAGTCCTAGATATTCTTATCGATTCGTACTAGGGGTTGCAATTTTCACAAAAGAAAAAGCTAAAGTGCCACGAACGCCTGAAAAATGTTCTTCTGGTACACATAGAGTATTCCGTACACCCATAATGATACATACCAGTGGACAGTAGACTTCTCCTACAAATGCCACAAACATTGACTAATAAGGACGCCACACATCAACTGGTCGTCTTTCTGACGTGATCAAAGATTTGCTCCGAGTCCTCATCCCTTGTTCCGACCACTCCGGCGAGGCTGGACGTTTCTTCCCTGTACCTGATGCTGTTGACCCTTCATCTTCTCTCTCGGGGCTGGAATGATTGGAGTCTTCTTGTGGTGGAGGCGGTCTTAGCCACCAGTCGTAGCCTCCATATAATTGGGAGTATAACCACGCGGGTGGAGTAGGAAGTAGGGGAGAATTAAGGAATAACTGAGCTGCAAGTGCACTGTGGAAAAGACTGGAGGGTGCTGGTAAGGGCTGCATCGGTTTCCGTGATCTGGTTACCGATGTGAAGGCGCCAGGACGGTCGTCAGGCGGCGGGGAACTGGATGCAGTGACTGAGATGTCATCGTCTTGCGGTGAGCTTGGACGCGAGTTAGCGGGACTCGTCGTACTGTGCGCGTGCATTGTGATGGGATTTTCTGACGTCACATCTAAAAAAAATATTCCAGTTATGACTACATTCAGGTAAAAATAGGATAACAACAAGTTCATTAGGTTCAAGGGGTATGGTACCAGTCTCGTGTGGAGGAGGAGGTACATGTTGAGGTTGCGCGTGCGGCGGCAGGACATGCGGCGTAAAGTGCGCTGGTGTAGGTAACAGGGGCGGTGGGTAGTGGCGCGCTAACGCTCCCCATTCACCGCCCGGTAGGCCCGCTAACTGATGGGCTATACCTGAACAAATAAGAAAACAAATTAAATGAGTTCTATGTTATTACTTAGATGTCAGGTCCTCCTAAAACTTGCTAACCAAGCAGTCTCATCAGGCCCTAGTTTCCACCCTCAACCTGCTCAAAATTCAATCAACAAAACAATAGCGTTAAGAGTTATCCCGTGGAACGCTCCACTAACGCTAACGCGCTACTTAACGCACTCATCAGAATATTTAAATAATGAGTGAGACGAGCCCCCCTCGCGGCTTGTACACTTCGCGCCTTATCGCAGACGACACTCCTCAATTGTTGAGCTCCATTCATCCCGACTGTTCATATTGTGGATTCAAGTTTACCTAAAGTTTCTTTGTGTGCAAATGTTTTGATATTTTAAATGTTCAAGTTCCTAAGTTCAAATCAAATCTGACAAAATCAGTCACTCTGTCTCAACTGACTATTTAATCTGTCTTCGGTATCTACCTACTTAAAAATAAAGTACTATAAGTATTATAAACAAACAAAATAAAGTATTATCACAACAATCACAATCATACAAATAGGAAATGTGTTTTGGCGTCATAATTTTCAGTTGACATTTTTAAGCGCATAAATTAACAAAGTTTGCAGGCGCCGCGACCCCGTATATTCGGCTTAACCCTTTAGCACCCACCTTGGGTAATTCCCACCCCGAGCCAACCCAACCCTTTCAGCAATAGAATAAATTACAGGCCGTTTTATGTCGCAGATACCGACGGTACGAAAATGTAAAACACATTATTTTGAATCCGACCGCTTAGCCTTTATAGGTGTAGTGCTTTATGAGTTCGTTGCAATTAGACAAGAGCTGCTTTTTAGGATTAAGCCGGGCTTAATCTTGCCTCGGAGCGCCTCACGGCTTTTACGATAATGATTTGAGATATCGAATCGCCGGCAGCGGGTTAAATAGTCTATTATCTACCGAAGGGTCTTCATCGTAAAATTTGGAACTGATTGAGACATGATTTTTATTATCTTTTGATTATAGAAAATCATTTATGCAATTCTTAATTACTTAGTAGTGACCATTTAATATACTCTTGAAGTATTTAGCCATTAAGTGCCATAGTCTGTCATCAATGAACAATTTAAATACTTTAATAAGTAGAGTAAGTGGACGCGAGCCGAGTAGCCAGGCACTCGGTATTCAAAGCTTTCTTCTAGCTAAGAGCATCCGTAGCTCAGACAATATCCGCATTGCTCAGAACGCAAAAAAATAACATTAAAGCTCAAGATTACTCGCTGGCTCGCGAACCCGGATTATTCTTCACAGAGTCGAGAAGAATGTTTGTGGAATAGAAGAGATATTTATTCTACACTAAAACTTTATTTTGCAAAATCGTAAATTGTGATAGACACATATTAATTAAATTGATAAGTGGGACTAATATAATGTGTGAATTTAATTTATTAAAGGATCTATTCTTCTTTTTTAAACCGAAACAAAAAATCAAATCTTTTTTTCTTTATAATAAGTATTAGTGTAGAACTCCAATTCCAAGAAGTATAATATAGTTTTATAAAGCCCTTGTTCAGAGAATAAAATTATTATACCTAATACGTGTCCTTTTTCCAACAAAATATTAGGTTACAATTAACGATTAGACACCAAAAAAAACACTCCTTGGTTATTGAAAACTTAAATCATATTAGCTAGAAAAGAAAAGTGTTTTCTATAAGTGGTCAGCCACTTGAAAAATGGTAAGACATTGTTTTATTATGTATTCTCTGTTGAAAGACTCACAAGAAAGGGTAGCACTGGACGATTTGCATTCGTTAAAAAATGTTGGAATTCTTTGTTGTGTGCACGATGCGTAATCGCTGTACACCACGATCTAATAGTGTTGAGCGCGGATCTGAATTATTGTATCAACGTATACCTAAGTGATGTTATTTTTTTTTTATTTGTACCTGTCTAATCTTTTTATGTGTGTCATATGTTTGCACCATTGCATTTATCGTACACAGTTGCAGTTTGCACAAACAAATTAAATCACAGATTTTGATAAAATACCTTAGGTAACACAAGCACCATTATCTTAAATGGTGACGCATAAGGCAAAAATTACTGGTTACTCTGCGGAGTACAAACAGAATTTTAGAAATGTCTTATAAGACATTTTCACCAAAAGTACCAAAACCTCTTGCTCCCAGTAGTAGTGGATTGGCCGCATCCGAAGACGTGCCAGTCCGCTACATTGCCCCGGACGAAGGGGTTTTTTCTTCGACTTTGAAAAATCGCGCCGCGCCGCGAGAGGGTTGAACCCAAACATTTTAATGCCATTTGCTAGATTGCGTCTTGCATTTTTCCCGCCGCCGCCCGATACTACAGCGCTAATCCGCGAAGACGACTGGGATTACACGGATAAAAGTATTTACGTTTTTAGTGTGATTCCGATGTGCCGGGATTAGGGCGGAATTTTTTAACGACTCTTTGAGACCCTCGGTGATTAGAGAAAGGGTTGGAAGCACTTTCCAGTAATTATTTTACATTTCTTCGAACATCGTTTATAGAACACTTAGTTGAGCGGCTTCCCTTTTTTTCTTTTGTTTGTAACAACTTCAATTCAAATGACTTATACAGAGACCAATACTGCCTTTGTGATCTGTTAAGCACATTGTCTTCTTTATGTATCTCTATGGGTAATTTAAAGATAACTTTTTGTAATTCGATGTCTAGTGTCTAGTTGTCTACTATGTTATGAAGAAATGCTGTAATTTGATAATATCCCGCTGATCTAACATCCTAAATTAATTCTGACACATATTTCTCATATCACGTAGGCGTTATTAATTTTCTAGCAGATGTCAGCAACACTACTATGTATTACTTATTAAAACGAAGACTTGGAAATCCTTTTTAACAACAGCTGTTTCTCTGATATACCGTTTTAAACTGTCAAACACCAAGCGGTCACCGGTGACCGCAACCTATTGTTCTATAATTGTGTCTATAATGACGGTACTCGACGAGTTAAGGTGCTACTTGGAATCAGCAAGATCAAGGCATCAATTTCCACCGTGAAGGCCGCGGCTGCTCCCCGCAAGGCTGCCTTGAGCCAGCTCGCTCCACACCGTAACTTATGACACCATAAGCTTGTAGTTAGTGCTAAGGGCTGACGTCACAGCCGGGAGTTAGCAAGACGGATGCCCTCCGTACATCATAAGGTTAATAAGAGGGCTCGTGAACTAACGACGCCGCTTTGTCAACGCGCCTTAACCCGCCGACGCCATCTTGGCTGCCATGTTGGATTTCAATCTGCTTAGCGTTTAATGAATTTGCTTCTATTGATTTTGTTTAACCCCTTTTTGTTTTGCTTAATTAACCTTTCGGTGTAGAAAAGTAGCTGTGACAAGGGAGTTTACGGTAAAGGTTACTTGGGTTACCTGATAGATACGATTAATTAGTTATCGTTCTAAAACTTTGACCCTCGTTTTGTATCTACTTATTGTGTAACTTTTAACTAGTATTCAACAAATACGTCGAACTTTAACGTAAATATTCAAACACTACTTCGAATATAAATGATAATGAAGTTGTGTCAGTGCTAATTTTGTAAGTACGAGTATTCAAGCTCTCATACCGACAGCGAGTCAATAAAAACTGACGTCACAATTAGATTTAATCGCCAGGAGTCATCATCATACGAATCCATTTAAAACCGTTTAAAATGTACAGTAAAAGCGCGAATCACGTCATACAAAAGGCTGTATGAGGTGGGTGGGACATTTAAAATTTACAAATGCGTAATTATGCACCCGCATTGTCGCGAGCAGTGAAGGGTTATGTGGCCCCCGTTTCTTCCCCCCTGGCCCCCACAATCCCGGGCTTCCGGGCCTAATGCTATATTTAATTTTCTCTAAGACTCCCTCATTAATAATACGAAGGCTGCGACTTTAAGTGGCGCTCACACGGCGACGTGAGATACACAGATGTACGAAAATGGATCGTCACTAGATGTCTAGACCAATTAGACAAAAGTCAAGGTGTACTGAATTTTTAAAAGCATTCTTACTTCTTTTAAACTTTGTAAAATATATTTTAATTTCATATGATAATGCGTTTATCGCGTGACTAGAAATATTTCCTAATATTACTTCCCTCGTTTCAACAGGAGCCAACAGTATATAAAATTATAAAGTTAAAGCCATCTTATTTTTAGACTAATTTTAGCGACACAACCTTTACGTAATTTTTAAAAATAGTACTATTATTTCGTAAAATATTCCATTACAAGTAGTCACATCCATATTTAATAAGATCTGTAACAAATTCGCGTCTAGAAGAGGTACGCGCGAACGTGAGTGTAGATAATTTATCATGATTTCACAAGGGTTATTGGTGCCGGTAAGAGGGCAGTAGAGAGCTGCCTCCGCTCGTCAGAACAGCCGCGAAGCGTGGAATTTACATATTGAAGAGCTCGCTAAATTGTTTCTAAAGAGAAACAAAGCAAGTCGACGCCCCACGATGAAAGAAGCCGCCGTTGAAGTAATCTTATAATGTGCGTACTCGGCTTAATGAGAAAATGGAGAATAGTTACTGTTCAAAGTAATTAATAATTAGCTAGTAGTATCGGTCTTTATAAATTATCATTTACCTGTTTAGAAGGAGGTGATCGAAATCGTTTAAATATTTCAACGCACATTTGCAATCACAAGTCAAAAGAATTCGACCCTTATATTTCATGATTTTTGTGAGACTTAACAGTATCAATCTAACTGATATGACATAATTATGATTTATTGTTATTAAACAATAAATAATAAATAATGATCATAACATTTCATTTAGACCTCTTACTTTCTGTAGGGACAGACAGAAGTATTCTGTATAGTGTGTCTATATACTATCCACATTTTCTCTTATTTCTAAATTATCATTTAGTTACTAAATACAAATACCATACAATTATTAACAACTAGCTGAACGCGCAACTCCGTCTGCGTTTTTCTAAAATAAAAGTAGCCTATGTTACTCCTTAGTACATTTACTACCTGCCCATAAAAGTCTCGTCATAATCGGTTCACCCATTTCAGAGATCAGCCAGTACAAACAGGCAGATAGACGGACAAAAATAGTAAAAAGTATCATTTATACATGTAGTAAAAAGCGGTAAGTAATTCAATATTACAAACAGACACTCCAATTTTATTTACCTACATATATACCTCTAGATAAGAAATTCAATATCACAATTCCACATTCTAATTTATAGATCCGATATAAAAATCGTAAGTAAATTAGCAAGCATTAATTCCGGTGTCTTGACACGGCTGGGTAGCGGCACCTACGTACTGTGTAATTGAGTTACAGCCCTTTGACACTCGACGTAACGAGGTTTGCGACGACACGACACTTGCCTTGCCTACGAGAGCACATTGCCAGATAAACGTTACAAGTCGACTGGTAACATGAACGCCTTAATCTTTTGTTGTTGGGATTTAAGGAATGGTGTATGTACGTGTGTTCCTTATATATAAAAAAATGTTCTATGTGAAATAATAATTCTTTAAACTTTAATAGGTACGTACTTAACATCGAGCCCATCCTCGTTGAGAAAAAACGTGAATAAGGAAGATAGATACATGTCCTACAATGTAGGATTGATGACGCTTTTTATTCTTAACTTGAATAGGAATTGAAGTCAAGTCCAAGGAGTCTCTCCTTGTTTAGTAGGTGGGTGCCCACGGTGTAGCATTGTGGCTACAACTAGTGACTTGATGCCAGTTTATACTAATCTTTATGTGCAACTACTTTGGCATATTAGCTCTAAATCTTATCATTTGTTATAAACTCAATTTTCAATTTGTGCAAAAGGAGGTAAGTCGATAACCAAATTCAATGCACAATTCAGGGAACTTGGCAGGTTCGTTTGATACTGTCTACTATAAAAAATCTACAAAACGTCTATCTATAGTAATCTGGCACATAATTACAACCGTGTTTATTAGGTGCTGGAGAAGGGAGCGGGTGCCTAGCGACGGCGGCACCCTGCTAGGCAGCCGTCTCGTCACAATATTGCGGAAATCTCATTCACCTGCCATATATCTTGACTTCTATATAGGATTTTTTGATATATCTTCACGTTACCTTATGTTTTTTTATATATTTATTAGTTTATTATTATATATAGTTAATTTTAAATAAATATTATAATCTAATACTTAAAAGACATTTCGATGCTTTTGCTTGTAAAACATCATAAATGGGAAATAAATACCTACTTAGTATATTCTAATAATATTTAGGTAGTAATCATGTATGTAATCACCGAAATTGTAAACGATCACCTAAAATCACAAATCCTCAAACAAGACAATAATAACGAGGTTCACAGAAGACCGCAGAAATGAATTGTAAATACCTACACAAAATATGAAACGTTCTATCTAAGTCTAACACTAACTATTCAAAACAACCATTTTAATAATCTCCCAGCACGTCACTAACAAACTTAAGAAACTTGAAAATTGTTAATGTTTCTTGAATATTAAAACACGAGTCTTGTGCTCGCAGGTGTCAAACTGAGGCCCCCAAATTGATAATTAATTGTCACGCAAAACTTCTCGACCGAATTAAATCCCCTTTTGAGGCGCAGGCGAGTGACAACGGTCCCGGCTGACAATTTAATATCTTTTGGATAGAAACATCGCTGCGACTCGCCGGGATAGGGGGCAGGTCAGAACTCAACTTTGAAGACACGTCATAAACACGCTGGGCTATATTTAGAGAGAGAGGCGCGACATACTTCGTCAAAGGCAAAACGAGACAAGTCTAAATATAACCATTTTCTGTACATTCTTTTAAGAATATTATAATTACGTTTCCTTTTATACTGTCAGTATTTTATCTCACTGTACTGTACTTATTTTGGTTCTATTAAAATACATTTGAAATACATTAAATAATGTGCTATAATTATATTCTAAGAACGGTGAACTGATGTCAACAGTTTGATATATTTCAAACAGAAATATCTATGTATATAACACTTTCATACTAGAAACTTATATCATAACTTCAATAATTAAAACGTAACTTGCTTATCAATTGATAAAGAACATAACATCACGCCTTTTATTCTCGAAGGGGTAGGCAGAGGTGCACATAATGCCATGAGTCCCATGTAATAGGGGGTGAGCCTATTACCATATACCGGGAAATTCCAAACTCCGTGCTACTACTGAGATTTTTTTTAAAACCTAGTAATACTTTGCCCGACCCGGGAATCGAACCCGACACCCCCTGCCCGGCAGTCGACCACTCGGCCAACGAAGCAAGGCAATTGATAAAGAAACATATTATAAACAAATAAGTAGGTATTGTTAATTACCTGATAACTTAAAAGGTAGTGACCCCATCAAGGGATCAGGTGGGAACCGGGGCCCGAAGTGGAAGGGGTGGAAGCCATGATGCCTCGTCTTGGACCTTGGCTCTCGGGGACCGTCCACCGTCACCTTGATAGCTTTCTGGTACGTCGCCACCTGAGGCGGCGAAGTCGCCAACATTATCGTTAGGGTGAACGATTTACCTGTAGAATAAAAAAAATATTACAAACAAATAACAATAATTATTTTATTGTAACGAGCACCATGTTAGACTATGAAACATTTTTTTCTGTTTTGTTTTTTTTTAGTAAGTTTTGTAATTTATAATGCGTCAAGCAAGTCTTTATATTGTTCTTATGTAACTAATAAATATCTCGGAATAATTGCTTTATTAGCAACATTTATAGTTTCAAACAAAAGTTACCTATCACTTGAATTTTGCCAACCTAAGTAGGTATAGGTGTCAACTCCTTTTTTTCCTTTTTTTAAAACAAACCCCTTTACACCAACCAAAACATAGGCTACCGAGACACGTTCGAAAACCATCTAGCAACTTTCAACCCTGGAATGTATAAAGAATTTGCCGGGAAGTCGTCAAACCCGTTGGGTTGCCGTCGGCGGGCGCGGCGGCGGCAGCGGTTGATTTGTGGAGCTCCGCCGACGCAATCGTACCCCGCATGCCGTCACGAACACACGGATTACTTTACGACCAAATTTACTAAGATATCCACGTTTTCCTTAACATTTTTTTGTTCTTTTTTATTGTAAGTTGTTGATTGCAATAGCTTCGTTGATTCCCTAAAACCATTTTCTATGAAACAGACTTAGACTGTAAAATTAAGTTCACTATAGAAACAGAGATTTTTGTCGTACCTGTTATGATAATAGTGAATTATTTATTGACTTAACTATATATTTCTTAATTAGTATATCATTAAATAGATAAGTTATGATTACTCATGATTACCTAACAGAAGTAGATTGCAGTAGTTTTTTATTAATTTTGACGTCAGTAGTTTATAGTCACACATTGGTTTCCAAAGGTTGAATGAACAAATACCGACACACGGCTATTGCCATACTATTGCACAACCGCTCAACGTACAAAATGATAAGCACTGTGTAAATGTGGTCGTCAGCCATCCTATCACTTAATAAGTGTTGGAACTCGCGACAATGACGTCACGTAACGATGCAATATTCTAAACAACAACCATTGCCGTAAATGTACCATTCCACTGTGTAGCGTAGGGATAATGAAAGCAATGGATGCTTAACAATCGGATATTAGCGTGGTATATAACGATGGTAAGCGAGGAGTAGTGTAGTCGAAATGCCATCGTAACACATCCACCGCAGAACGACCACAAACACGGCGCCAAGCGTTTGAACAATCACGGACGTATCGACACACATACCAAATGGTAATTCTGGTAAAGTTCATCGGTTGACATTCTACACCCCGCCGTAATGAATGATCATAGACATTAATTAAATAATTGTATTTAACCCGAATTGACTGCACTGTTTTTTGGAATAAATTGTGGACAACACAGAAACTATCGACTGTGGGAATATATGGGTAGGTACGCTGTAGGTATAAATGTATTAACTTTGTTGAAACGTGATAAAATATTCAACGTTCTGATTCTACGAAAATAAACAAACGGATTGCTTTGTTAGAAACCTAGTTTTGGATTTTATCTGTTTGCAGTAAAACAGGAGCGACGCAAACAACGTGTAGTAAACACTATTTTCCGCGAACAAGCCAAACAACGAAAGATTTCATATTTAGATCCCAAATTATATTCTGAATAAAAGAAACGTACCGAGATAACATTCCGTGCAAAACAAAAGAGAGACTTGTATTTCCAGCGTCTGGCTTGAAGCCAAAAGCCGCGGCGGTGGTCCTCCGAGCCATGAAAACGACATAAACACCCTCCCCCGCGGCCCGCGGCCCCACCGCACCCCCCGACCCGAAATGAGCGGCCACCCGCTTATTTTCATAAAACCCGCATAAACTCGGCGAGAACTTAAGAGAGAGACCAAGAAATTGTTTTTGCGCAAATATACGCAGAAAAGAAAAGTTTTATTGTCTCTGGGACGGAGATACGAATTACCCATTCCGACTACTTATGTAATATGGATGGAATGGAGGCAAGGAATCTACATGAGACATGCCACGCCGCATCTTGTACTGCTCTCTACGACCCTACGCCAGTTAGTATTCATAGACTACCAAGTTATTGACTGCTCTATGTCAAAGGCTAAATAATTACGTACTTACTGTTATTGAAATTAGTTTTTTTTTCTGGGAGTTATTACATAGTTTATTATGACGCTTTCTTATTACTTACAATATTTACACTGAATAAGCTACAGTTTACTAAGAGATTTTTTTGTATTTTTCAAACGTTGCTATTTCACTTTGATACGTAACGGTTGAACAAAAGGTATACATAAATAAAAACGTTCACTTATTATTGACATTCAGCACTTCATTAAAAACAATTTCCTTCAACAATACAATAGACCTGCAATCTCCAAATAACTTTCAGAAAACAAAAACAGAAAATTTGTAACTCCATAAATCATTTAGTTATTCATAAAAATCCTTTCTGCCCACCCCCTGACGCCGCGTGCTAACATATTGCACTTGCACGTGCTACACACTTCATAAACTGTGTGTATTGATCCCACGAGGGGGAGCCACTGATTGTTCTTAAAAATATTGTGTTTAGAACCGAAATATCCAAGGGGCTCAAATAAAAATTTTATTATTCTTTTCTTTCGAAAAAAATCTAGCCATGTTAAAATACATCATCTCTCTTTATTTATTTAATAAAATGTAAATTTTAATTACGTAGTATTAGTTGGTTCAGTGATAACAGTTTGTCAGTTAGTTTGTCGAACACTCAACGCCATCTATCGAAACTAGGCAACATTTTTTCCTGTGGCAGCTTAAGGACTAAGCTCAATGAAGTGAATTAAGTTTATGGACATAGTACTTGGTACTGTGATATCCTTTACATATAGAAAACTGCATATTTAAATATAGTTTCATTGAAGACAGGAAAATGCCAAACGAACTCATAAATAACTTAAAAGTACGTTTACAAAATTGATAACAGTTAAAATATTATTCCAAATTCAAGTTCGGTTCGAAATTCAAATTCGGCAATTTCCCGTTCACGTCGGATTAAAAATCAGCTTTATAACGTCATAAAGTAGGCGGGAGGCACATTAAGATAAGAGTTCTCCGTTCGCGAGCTAAATAAAAAATGAGCCACAATGGTAATGGCAGAGAGCTCCTTTGATCTCGGTTTCATGGCTTACGGGGGATTTTCGGCTTACAGCAGCAATTTGGATATAAAATACCTAAAGCCAACCGATACGCATTAGACACATTAGCGAATTGACTACGAACGTAGATACACATGTATACATCTCTGACACGTAGCTATAAATATCTAAACAATGCGGAACCAGAAGCCACGAGTCGTATAAGTATATTGAATTATATCTCGGAAGCAATATAAAACTTCCTCCCTAACCAATAAAATAACTAATACAAGCGAGATACCGTAAAATCCAAGTTTATTGAGGCGTCTCAAAAGAACAAGAGGAAAAGTCAAAAGCGTGCACAATTAAAAACAGTCCCCTAGGAAGCATCCGCCGAACGAGCCGAGCGGTCAATATTGCGAGACGAGACCCTCAATTTTCACCACTCTCCCCAACGCTAATAACAATAATTAGGAATGAGTGGTTCAATAATTAAAAACGGAAAGAGAACAACTCCAAAAAGACGGACTAAAATGAAAAGAAACTTGCGCTGTCCTACTTTAGTTTGAGGAGATTCCTATCTTCATCTCCCTCACACGACCGTCTCAATTTCGCTTATGAATTTTTTGCACTCACCCTATGATGCTCTTTTAAATTAATAAAAATTAAAATGGATGCTCATCTTAAGTAGCGATAGCAGTTTTCCGTGTCAAAAATTACATTGGGACTTTGTCTACATATTTTTTACATCACCAAAGAAATCATCACTTTGGAAACTCTTTAACTATGTTAAAGGTTGATCTCTGATGAGACTTATTCACGTACAAATCATTATAAATAAACTGTTTACTAAACCACTCACCATATTAAACCCCCGGTATTCAAATAACAATGCCCTCTACGCTAATTTACATGCACAATCATCCTTTAACATAGTGTGTAAGGTTTTCAAAATAACAGAGTGGGATAGAAATCATTAGCTGTAAGGGGCAGTGCATCAAAGGAGGGTCTCGGGTTAATAACGAAAGGTGAGGTCGAGAAATTTTTCGCTCTCTATACAAAAATAATTTTCCTGGAGGTGCGGATGGGGTGAAGGCTGCAGCCGTGAGAGGCCATTGTGTTCTACCGACAATGTTTGGTTAACTACAGACCTTTGTTACAAGAGGTTACCAGCTCAAAGATGACGCTATGAATGTTTGTTTACTTGTCATTGTCAGACAAAGGTACGTGAAATGTTAATGCTGATTTCACGGAACGATAATATGTACTAATTTTCCCATCGAATATGGAAACATTACTTAAGTAAGTATTTTCTAACAAAAATGGTACTTCCAAACAGTGCTTCTATTTAATCATTTTTCGAACTACTCATATTTGTGTTTTTATACCGATAAATATCCACATATAGGTAAGTAAGACGTCACCTAAAATCTTTTAAAGTACAATATAAAAGGCAATTATAGAGACTGCGTAGGAGATCGAGCACAAATGAGACTAGGGGCGCATTTTTTATCGTATCTAGCCGTAAGGTGGGGGTCAATCAATCGATTAGCAGATGGCGCTCCTTGACTACTGGTGCGGTAAATTGGCCTCTTACTACACCACTCGAGGGTATAATAAGGTAAGGTTAAATTTAAATCAGCCATCAGTGGAAATTGTACGGATGTTGTAACTATACTTCCATTACAATAATGAATGATTTTATATTGAAGAAAGTTAAGTTTGTTAATCAATCTCATAGTGATAATCAAAAATGACTTGCCCTTAGTTACTTTTATCCAGGTTCATCATATTCCTTATTAAGTAATTGGATATTACACAAGTTTCAACATAATTTGGTAACAAAGAAAAAGATCTTACAAGTAATTAATAATTCTTGGCCAATACGAAGTATAAAGGCGGTCCGCCGGGCTAGCTGACACGGCAAACCGTGGCAAAAAAGTGGTCGGGGGGCCCTCATTAAATTTTTCGCTTATTAAAAATTCCCCGCGCCCCGTCCCTCGGCGTTGGATACGCAACTTTTTATCCCGGAACGAAGCAAAAGTTATGTTCCGCAGCGATCCCCCTTTGTCTTTTTACCCGATAATTTGAGTGAGATTTTCTCGCAATTTAAGATAAACAAAGAGAGCGCTTACCCTTAATTGGAAAGCAGAGCGTTATTCAGGAAGGAACGTGACAAATAGACACCTCTTAACTTCTTTTCCACTTTCCCGCCGCTCTGGGCTATATTGGTTTTTTTCGTGTACACGCTAGCCGAAAGCTTTTGTTTGTTTAAGGAATTTTTAATGAAGGTTATATTTGTACAATACGGACTGAAATCCACTTTAATGTTTCACGCGTCTATCAACTTCGCGGGGGAAATTAGCGTCCGTACAAATAGCTTAGGAGTTGACGTTGTAAAGATATATTTACGAATGACAATAAGAAGCACGAGTGGCTTAAAAACATCTTACTAAGGGCCGATTTTTCCAACGCCAGATAAATTTTAACTGAGGAATAACTTTGAATACTTGACAATTCTTCCATACTAAATATTGTCAAATGGCAATTTTATTTCGCAGCTAAGAATTAATTGATGATTGAAAAATCGACCCTAAAACTTTTTTTTATGGCATAAACCGGTAAACGAGCAGATGGATCACCTGATGGTAAGCAATCGGCGTCGCCCATGGACACCTGGATGGAACACCAGAGGCGTTACAAGTGCGTTACCGGCCTTTTGGGGAATTAGTTTTCTGTGAGGCCGTGGTATAACTCCGGTCGAGCCGGCCCATTCGTGCCGAAGCATGGCTCTCACACACTCCCACACCACACTGCCTATTTCTACGACATTTTACTAAAGTTACAACGTAAACATAATGTTAACATGATTATACAAAACAAACAATCTACCCCGTATACGCTGTGTATCCGTCATCTACACGACACTATGACACGAGTGACGTATTACGTAACGTAAAATTTTCTTCCAAGCATGTTGGCAACACTACCCCATCCCTACCTCGTTAGTTCCCTGCACTATTTGAATATGAGACGCGACATGTTTACAGTTCGTATGCTCTTATTTGTTACCCTAAGTTAAAGTTCGTTTCCGCACCGTTGTTCATTTACATCGATCCTATGTTTACGTTAATTCTGGTGTGAGTTACGTTGAAGGTTGTGGAATTTGAATAATGTAACATGATACTGAATGATTGGTAGTATTATATTGTCAAAATTTCGCCATCTGTAACTACGATAACGCTGAGATAATTACGCTTTAAAAACATATACCATACATATTTACATATGAACTTTATAAGTTTGTAATGATAACACCAAAGTCTTGAATAGCTCTTACCATCTTATTTTACTTCTTTGTAACTTTAAAATATCTTCAAATTCATCTATTTATTGTATGTATTCGTCTTAGGTACTACAAACCACATATTTTTAGCTACATATATACCTAGATTCACTTAAAATCCTCTTTTTCTTATAAGACACCCTTAAGTTACGTGCTTTGCGTACTAATGAGGTAAAACAAAAGAGTATCAGTTCAAATTGTAAAGAGATCCGCAAATGAGAAGTGCTATAAGTGCGCCAACGTTTAAGTACAAATTACTTATCCGCAGAACTTGATACATTAAGGGACCACTATTTGCGTTCATTGCTAGGCTACGTAGGACATAAGAAGTGCTTTTTAATACTATTCATTGACTGATAGGCTAATTGAGGTAATGAACCGGAGTAAGAACTTTAACAATGTTTATCTCGGAGGTTGGTAGCAAAACCACTCAAATAGACAATTTTCCTGTTGAAGATTAATTTGTAGCTGGTATGATCTTGATAATAAACATATTTTGCTCTCTATACTACGTTTTATCTCTAAATATACATTTACACAAATATCTGTAAGAAACTATTATCCGTCGCGTCGTATAAAACCACTATTTAGTGTTTATTCTAAAAGAACTAGCTTTAGCTTTATTACCTATCCTAGACTTAATGAAAACAGTAAAATGGCGGAATGTTTAACGGAATGCAATCTTAAGACAGTGGAAATACTCAGGAAAGCTCTACTAGTTTCGAACTACAGAGGGGTTCTTCCTCATGAGCAGCGTGCGCGGTCGCGGCGATGTCGCGAAGCCTATATGATAAATAAAGGAGCTGTTTTCTAAGCTTATTGAATTAGCATAATGTCAAAATCAAAATAAAAATCATTCATTTCAATTAGACCAGAAAGGCACTTTTGAACGTCAAAGAAAAATGAAATCGTGAAGCTATTTGCTCATTCCAAGGTGTAGATTCCTATGGAGAAGAACGAGCAAGAATCTCCATAGGTTACTCTTTTTCAATCAGGTTCACAATACAATTCTTTATTTCCATAGTTTTGTAGGTCCAAACCTCTGATTGTGAGACCGAAAATCATTATGTTAACCTGAGCTGCTTGAGGTTGAGGCTAAAACCTTTTAGTTTATTAGGTTTTCCTACAGCTTAAGTTCAACCCAGAGTTTCCCAGTAGGCACACCTAATCGGCCACTATCGCTCACAGAATCACCACAAGTGTCGACGTCGCGACTCAAAGGCGGTTGACCGCGCAATTACTTTAGCACCCACTATAAGTACATACTTACTATTTGAACTTTGTGTTATACTACTTACTACGTATTACTTGGAAACTAGAAAAAGAGCAGCTAATGATGATGTAATTAAAGTAATAGATATATTTTCTTTTGATATTCACTAACAAAAAAGTCCTCATAAGATGGTATCCAGAGGCTTGCGTGTTGAATGTTGGTTTAATAATGAATATTCTGTTTAAACTGCAACGTTTAGAAATAATCTAGGTGTAAGAAAAAACATAGATGACATTTTATTCTATTTTACAGTTTCAATTTTAATCAATTTACTACTTCAACATGGACAGTTAGCTATTTTTATTAGATTTCTAATTCAACAGAGACTAAAAAAATATAAAAAAATGTATAAAAAATTCACGTTTCTAGCTATGAAGCTATAAAATTGTGAGCATATATGAATGTTTACGATAATGCAGACATCTACTCATAAAAAATCCCCCTCTCCCGTGGGTGAGCACTCAAAAACAAAGCTCGGGGCGCCTTGCCTTCTGAATATTTCAACAGGTCTTCGCTTTGTTGGAATATTAAGTCAATGGGGGTAATTGATCTGTTAAGGCCCTTACTACGAAAATCTATGCCATAAATCTTTAAACAGGTTACGTGGGTATGTTCAGAGCTCCGATAACCTCTTAAATTAATAACGCGGCGGAATTTGCGGAAGTTATTCGGTATTAGTTAATAATATATGTTGATTTGAAGACGAGATTGATTGAACTTACAAATATATTGTTACGATAAAGTCAGAGTTTGATGTAACGCACATATCTTTCTATTCGATATTTACTCAAAGTGTTGACTACAATATACCTTTGTATCTTATCAAATAATAATCATTCGTCAGTAAACACATTATTTAACTAGCGAGGCGTGCTACCGTAATACATAAATACCAGCTAATAAGAAAATAATATCAAAAACTCACCTCTCCCACTTCTTCCAACGAATCTGAGGTCATTAAACTTGGCAACCTGGTTTTTCATCACCGCTGTGCAGTTTCTCAGCTCTGCAGAACAGTTCTCATCATTACCAGCTCTGACTGTGACCAGGGTGCCGTCCCCTACTTCTCCTAAAGCTACCACCTTGAATGCTACTGGTAAGGTTTTGTTTGATCGCCAATGTGGAGGCAGGACTGTGCACACCTAGAAGAGACGAATATAGATCTATAATACGCTGACACATAATAAATCATTCCATTTAGAAAACAGAGTCAAATGTACAAAGGTAATTTTGAAGCACACCAGCGTCATTTTATTATATGAAACAATGTTTGTAATTAACTCTACACTTGAATTACATTTTATGCAATTTTGACTGCATGGTTGACGCGGCGGGTGGGCAATTGGCTGCCACGCAACGTGTCGCGGATGCAATTCCCGAATGGAACAACTCTTTGAGTGATCCACAGATTGTTGTTTCGGGTCTAGTTGTCATGTGTATGTGAACTTATGTGTTTCTAAACGCACACACGACACAGAAGAAAAATCTAGTGTGGGAGCAACGTTTATTAAAATAAATAAAAAAATATATATGAAATTTTTTTTTAATGTTTAAAGATATCCTTACCACATGAGGACAACCAGTCTTCACCAACTCTCCAGGATGATCAGCTAAAAGACCTTCCAAGGTCCTTTCAGCTAGTAACTCAGCTGTCAGCGGCTGACTCGGCAGCGAGCTACCATAACTCGACGAAGGCGCCTCATGGCCCAGTCCGTTCGTCGTCGAACTCACTTCACTCGATAAATGCATCGTCCCAATCTTTGTCCACTTATACGCACTTATACATTACGTCATTAAAGTTTTTGTTAAGATCACAACCGTCACATGACTTCGACAGATACAGGCTGATTGGAAATTGAAGAGTGCATTAACTTCTGGTGCAAATGTCTTGAGGATAACTGTGATGACATGGTGGCAAGTTGTATCTGTAAAGAAAAAGACGTTTATGGTGTTAAATCTAGCAATCAGATGTATTATAGCAAGGATAGTTACTGATGTATTTGAAAAGCTATGACCATGTTAGCCACTTTTGCTTACTTTCAGGGCTTTGTACATACATTTCTGATAAAAATACATTCATACACTACTTTTCCTCCATATGGTCATTTATCGTTTATGATTAAAAGAAAACTTCATACTCGTTGTTCTGACCTCGAACAACAGTCACTCCGATAATTGTACCAAAAATATCTAATGACTTTTTTACTTCTTCGATCTAGCTTTTTTTAATTAAATAGCTTTATCGCAGTAAAGATCTCCATGCAATTTTGCAACATTGATTAATATCTATCTGTCATTCAAAAAAAATACAAAATTGCAATGTGATCTTTCTGACATAACACATCTGTGCCTAAAAGTTCGTAAAGTTATAAAAAGCCTAGTTATTGTCAATTTGTAATACACTCAAACTGACATGAAATCACGAACTGCTAGAGTGAATCCGAGGCGAAACCTTTGAACTTTGTTCAGGTTACTTATTGACAATGGTGTGTGAAGCTTCAAAGTGACTTCCGCGTGGCGAAAGCACGCACAATCAGGGACAAGCGGGGTAGGGTCGCAAATGAAGCGTATAGAATAAAATATTAGTATTTTTGTAACATACGACTTTGTACTTTGCAAATATTGACTCCACGATATTATATTACGGAGGAAATTTAAAATGGGTTGCTTTAATATTGTTATCTGTTGACTTATGGAGTTTAAGACAAAAATGAAATAAACAAAGTTTTATCCAGTTTTATACTCTTCCTGTGACAATGTTATAAATATAGCTTACAATCAATTAACAACAATGTAAGACATGGGCGCGTAAAAACGGACATCAGTGCGTTTTTCTTAACTCTCTTTTGGCTTGTCAGTCAATATTATTAATAAAATAACTGTAGGTCCACAATATGAAACTACTCAGTCATATCAACAACAATTAATTAAAGACAAAAATAAACCAACAAAAATTATAGAAAGAAATAAACCAACCTGTACATCAACAGTATACCATCAAAGTTCTAATTTCAAACCCATTCACAGTTCGGCTGGTTGATAGCTGACAATAATGCTTAGAGCGTTGGCCCCTACATCCCCTAGGCGTACAAATAGTCTGTTATACGTTCGCGAAACACGATATGTCGATTGGGATGTTAAACTTAATTCGGGTTAGGGGTGAGTCAACAACACGCCTTTTACTGTCTTTTAACAAATTCACTTTGATTCAAACTCGTAAAAGTGCTATAGATGAATCTAATGGTACTTATGAACAAGCCGTTTTTGGGATGACTGCCATTATAATTAATGGTAAACTGATGGAACAAAAAAAACTGATTAAATGTAATCAGATCTTATCGCATAGGTCATAGTCACAGGCCATGCAGATTGCGTTCTTGAGAAATAGATAAATTATATGAGGTAAAAAGCCATGATGTCAGATAGTCAACGAAGAAATAACAGGAGTTACAAATAATCTTCTAACGTCACCAATACCAAAGAGTTCTTACATTAACCTAATGAAAGTATTACACGCAAGATAAACAATCAAAGTTCACTCCCAGTTTTGGTTCCGCGCCGGATTTGGCTCATGAATAGCTTCGCAATAAAATCTTAGCGTAAAAACATACATAAAGGGTAAAGCTCGTAAATAATAAAGCATGTAGGATCGTGTAGGGGTTCCCTACAAGTGGATAATGCTCGTTACCCATGCCCTTCACAAAGGAACCCGAATGGGGCAAAGATACATTACACCAGCCGTTTCTGTTTCACTGCGTCCGTTAGCATTCGGACAATATTTTTAATAAAAACCTCACGCGCCGATGGACTTGAAAACGTTTTTGTTTTATAAAATACTGTTTTGGGACCATGATTAAGTTGGTACGACTGTGTTCGGTTTTCGAATTTTGAATTTTATTTGACTTTCCACTTCCATTTTCTTTGTTATCGTTATGATGAATGAGCTTTATTAATATAATAAGTAGATTATTCCAAAATTGTGTTATTTTTTTAAATAATAAAAAAAATGTTGAATATAAATATCTTGTTTTAAATAACAAAAATTAAATGTAACTTTGTTTACAATATTTATAATAAACGACGTAAACACTGCTGAGGCAGCACTGACTCGTGTATACTCAAAAACATAATATTTCAAAATTACCTTCAGTGGGTACGGTAGGCGCCTATGAACAGGAGCGTTATTTTCAGAAATCTCAATAATGGCGTAGCATCTGTGCGTGTAATAAAAGGCGTCAAGCCCTCCGAGTTCCAATAACATCTATTATCAGCCCAATTTTAAAGAGGAGCGAATGTGAAGGGAATCAATAGGACAGCGGGGACACAAATTCCTGAGGGTGGTCCCTGGAGGACGGTCGGACATGGATAATGATCGTCGTACGACCAGCGACGGGTACAAATGGGTTAGCAAATGTAATATCCGACGGTGTCCGAACCCTCAAGGCTCAGATATTCAAATGAACGGAAAGCCCAAGCTGTAAGACGGTGACGGACTTCCTGATTTTAAAGTCAGCACGCGTTTTCTGACGTGTCCTGAATTTATGTGAAACTGATTTAGGTTTCTTTGAATTAGAATTACTGAAGTGAAAAAGACACCTTCTTTAGTGAGTAGGCACCTGCCTATAAAGGTGAAAATCGTAGATTTTTTTAAACATTTCCTGTTAACTTGATATGTAAATAAGGCCTAGTAAGCTCTTCTACATAATTTTCATAAGAGATTTATCGTAGAACGCACTCATTTGTGGTTTAACCCATTAAAGGGAAAACGAAAAAAAGTTTTATTATTAAATGTGTTTATTTATTTATACTATACAATATAACGTTTCTACCCTGTAGGTCTTGTACAAATTGGCACAGTGACCAAGACGATTAATAATGAGAAAAGTGTGTGATTTCAAAGTTGTCCACTATTCCTACCAACTTATATGTTTACATAGCACGGTATACAAACATTTAAAGCTATAAAAACACTTTAAACACAAAATAAAAGGATCCCCACTGCAATATTGGTGACAATAAACAACGGAGCACAATCAAGCAGTTAAATAAGAATCGCGAGGAATGTGACGGGGTGATGTGGCGTCATTTATTAAAATACGCCCGCACTGGGGTTGCCAGGTTTCCTTTTACTAATACTTTGGTTTTTCTGTCGATTTTTGTTTAGGTAATCAGAGAGTTGCGCTGTAATTACAGTTTTTCTTTAATCATAATGAATTATTAATTCTGCTCACTATTATAAAAGTAACACAATACCTGAAGGTTAAACCTTGAAGATGCAGTGCGAGTGCAATGCAATAAAAATGTTAAATAATGTAAGGACACATTTGCTTCTACATCATCAAAAGAAAATGTCATGCATGCAGCCTAACAGATAGATGAGTATAAAATGGATCTGCATAAAATAAAACGTACCTAATCATTGCAGTCTATGGTAAACTTCTTTTTATCCCGGTAACATGTACAAAACCACTATTATGAATTTGAAATATAAATGATACTTATTTAAATTTCAGAAACTAACAATATTCTTCACGCCTTCTTGGAATCACAAGTGAATAAAACATTTATGATCTCGGGGCGGATTAGCTAATAGCACGCACATTCGCATTTTAATAATTAATTAGAATACATTTAAGCTGTCAACATTGCGTGACTGTTTGAAGGGATATATTTATTTATATTTGTTTTAAAGAGCACTTCAATCCAAGTGTCGGTGACTTGCCATGTAGTGACAGTAGAATATACCTCTGATCTTGCAGTGGGTGTCGTAAGTAGCTAAATTACTACACATTTAACATAAAGGATGGGATATCAACATGAGCTGATAAACATAAGTCTTTTAAATTTTAATCACTTACCGCCTGGAGAGGGGCAAAGATGGAGATTGTGGCAAACCCCTCCTAGTTAGTGGAGGTCTGTTGTCACAGGCTGTTAGCGCAATGTCGTGTTAATTTTATTCATAACTTTTCTTTTCAATACAATTTTTTCCGCATGTTTTACATTTTATTCAAAATATGGCGGAAAACCAAATGACAGTAAAAAATAAACAAGAATTTATTCAAGGCTTGACAATTCGGTTATTGACTCGTACCTCCCTTCGAAGACGATGTCACTACATGCATCGAGGGCGGTAAGATCGTGCAAAATTCAAAACGTTCCGTGTTCTAAATTCAAAGGTCGCGCAAACAACAAGTCGAAGCCCGCGAACAATGCCGCCAACCCCACCCGATAAATGTACAAAGGAATTATTTGATACAGCCTACTCGAATATTGACGTTCAATTTATTATTGATGATTAATCGATTATTTGTTTAAATTCCTAACATTAATGAAAATTAATTTAGTTTTTTATGTTCTATACTTTTATGAAATAAACTATAAAGAATCTGTTAAGACCTAATTTAATGTGGAATAGAGTTGAGGAACTACTTCTTTAGAGAGGTGCCAAAGACAACACTTTCATTTCTTCAAGGAGAAAATGCAAATAAAGAATATTCAAAAACAAAACACTGTTTTCGCCAAAAAATCAACAAGTTTGAAGTGTTCACAATTAACAAACAACTTTGGTGTTATATCACGTCAATCGAAGGTTTATATGAACTACGTTGTACGTAGAAATTATGGTAATACCGTATTATATGTAGGTAAAATAAACTGTCAGTCAAATAGAGCTGTCAGTATCATGCTCGCATGTATTTCAATAATTAATTCACGCCACTAATTCCCGAAGGGCTACAGAATTCATGGCGGCTATCAGTGTACCATTTAGGCGATTAGTAATCAAGCATAGCTAATTATTGTTGCTGTTATTAGATATAAAACTAGTCTAAGGATATGTTTCACAATATCAGATTATGGTTCTGTTTGTTTAACTGAAACATATTTTGACAAACGTATACAAAATACTTCAAATAATGTAGACTAATAAAAATAGGTCAATTGTTGAACACAAACTAATTGAAGTAAGTATTCATTGACAAATACTTTTAACAATGTTGTTCACTAGAATAATATTTAAAAAATTCTTAGAGATTTCATTTCAGTAGGCAGTTTCATTAACATTTATCGTGGCTTGAAGGCAGGTCAACAACATTAAACAAGGACATTGAAAAAAAGGTGGACAGTCTCTTGGAACAACGACTGTGTCACCTGGCTACTATAGAGTTACACGTCGAACATACACACATTGACATGAAGGACATCTGCCATTTTCTTAAGTCTGATAACGTGGAACCCATTACACACACACACACATAAAAAAACCACTGACATTTTCCTGCTTCAATCATTTCTAAGTGACATTATGTCTGCTTTTTTTTCAACGTCCTTGGTATTAAAGAACAGATTTTATGCTAAATCAAACTATCAAAGATTGGCTCATGAACAAATGACCAGTTTACATTTTGGGGTTCTTGTGTAGTTAGAAGAGCCGTCGGTCACATAGCAATCCAAGCAAACTCTTCTAACAATGAGTAACCAAGAGTGTGTTTTAAAGGTCAGTCTTGTTTAACTTTGTTTATAATAAAATAATTAAATACTAACAGTGAATACAAAATATATTAAACCGCATTTTAAACTGTCACAACTTTTTATACGGCAATACCATCTACTGATATTTGGTCCATAATGCGCCTCACATACATACATATGTACAATTATCGGGTGCGAGTTAACGAGCGTGTAGCACAGGGCCGCCCTTAGAGCCGTCACCCAACAATTACAGGTGAAACTTTAGGGATCGCTACAACCACTCTAATGGGAGTTCACGCTTACTTTTTAACAAGTTTCCGCTACCGACGCCGACTAAACGGGACATAATTGTATTACGATGCGGACCCACAAAAATATAAATTGCCGCGAATCGCCCGTCTAAAGTGTTACTTTGTAATAGTTTGCGAATTAAGTTGCTAGTTGCTCTTGTTGGTTGGTGTTGAGTTCTCTGGTATTACGATAGTACGTTACGGATCTCTTTAAAATTAATTTATCGCAATTATTATCATATTTAATAGCTTTACGAATAATTCAAGAGTTAAGAGAGTTGAAAACTCCAGAATTACTTTAGCTATTCACGTACCTAACTAAATGTATATATGCGTCATAAAATTAACATAACAACCCGTAAAATTTATTCAAGATACAAGAGCATAAAGTTTAGTAATTCCAAATGAAAATCTATTTCCAACACAAAAGATCTCATCATCCCGCAACGTAACATAAACAAAACTAGAAGTAATCTAATCAAAGTCATAGGCTGTACATAACAAAGCGTTTACCCAACGTTATCACAATATGTGCCGTTATCTCGGGAGTTTAATCGCCGCGGCGTAGTGTGCGCCGAGGCTAATGAGCCTGCGGTTTTTGGGAAAACAACACGCAAGTGAGCGCCGCGCCCGCCGCCCTCTCCACGCTCCGCCGACAAACCCAAGTTTGCCGACTTAAACAAACTTTCTACTAATTAATTTCAGACATCTTATCATTTTCATTTCTTATCAATCCAAACAAATTTTATTAAAACTTAACTGAAACTATTTATTTAAAACTAAGAAAAGTAGTCGTACCTCAAGAAAAAAATTTAGACATCTCAGAAAAATCCACAAGAACACTAAACACAATGTCCGCACTAAATGGAAAAAAAAGTTTGGACCGGTAACCGCGGAAAGGCGCGGGCGTCCGCCACCGAAACGTGGTCGACATTAAAACCTTAGCGGGAAAGAAACGGTCCCCTTATTACGTCTCGAAAGAAATTCGCCCGCACACAGGGGCACGGCGAAAGAAGTCCACTCACACAGCGGCGCACTGCAACGCGACACGAGGGGCCGGGTCTATGTGTGTGTCGGGACTCGGCTACAAATAAGTATTAAAAGAGATAGTTAGGTGCGGGACAAGCAGCGCACGTGAACCATATGCCGCCGCACACACCTCGCATCGCAAAATCTGCGCTTCAAAGGAACCTTCTAATGTACTGCACCTTACACACATTGTGTATTCTCTTTGGTTTTTCCACAATAGATTAATGGTTTGTTTTCTTTTCCCTTTATAATTTCTTAAGAAAAACGTTCAAAAAAGAAAATTGAAAACATTTTTGTCGGTTTCTTCTAACTTAAACCTTAGCGTGAATACACTATTCACTTAAACCTAAGTTTTTGTAAAAAAAAATCTATTTCAGTTTAATAAAAATAACTTTTATAGGTACTTGTCATGTAAATAATTTGCTCAAACTTCCTACTCTCTTCTTGTGTGTCTTAATGTTTTCTCAACCACATTTAATAAACAACCGCAACCTAAGCCCTTTCGATAAGGTACTATAGACAATTATGTCTTTAAATTCATCTCTCTGAAATTGTAATAGACAATATATTCCTTAAAAAGAGTCCAATTAATGTAGATCTTGGTCGCGCATTACTACATTTTCCGAGAATTATACCCAAAAAGACAAAGTCTGCTGAAATATCATGATACAGGAAAATTAATCATGGTAACATAAGGTCGAAAGTGCCTCCAATGTCAGACATTGCCGCATAAAGGACCTCAGAGCCCTCGAGCTAGCCGACAATGGAAATTTTATTTCATCGTAAAATTTAACTGCGCACTTTAATAACTAAAGCACCAAGCCGATATAGCGCCGTATCGTTGACAAAAGGATGAGCGTGCTTCCAGAACAACCTTTCAGTAGATGCACGCACACTAGCGAGGTAATACAACCACACGGCTGTAGTTACACACTTACACAGACGCGGCTCACCAGTACACGTACAGAACCCACACGCCCACCCGCCAAACACGCCCAACGTCTTGGGTTTTCTTATAAACCACGTTGTGTTCGATGTCCCATTCTCGAGCACGGCGCCCCGGCGTGCTCTCTCTGTCTAGCGCAATGACGAGCTTCACATAAAGCGACGCCACATTCCCGCCTTTTTTCCCACTCCATTTTGACAGCTCGCGGCTCCATATCTGGCCGGAAACTAAGACGGTGTTCACAGAAGTTGAAGAAATTGTCTTCAAATACATGAATTCAAGTGTTCTTCTACTTAGTGACTGAGGAGAAAGAAACCCCTCAACTCGATCCCACTTAATAAGTAACTTACACCCTGGTCCCTAAATCCACCATGAAAACTTTCCTGAAAGAAAGTATTTTTAAAGAAGAACCATTCTTATCGTGTGATTGATTCTGTGCATCTTCTACTCTACGGTGGGGTAAATAGCTCTGTAAGAAAGTTAATGACCATCATACGTATAAAAGACTTACATGAATAATATATCCAATGATACCTAAGTAACCAGCCGGCCTCCGTATAATACAAGGTATATCTTTCGTTTCAGTATTTTTTGCAAGCTGAAAATTCTTCAAGCTTTCAATGAATATTAAGGAAGAATGTCTCCCGTAGTCGTAGTCATAGTTCCTAAAATATAAAATAGAACAGAAACGGTGTGAACATATTAAAGCCCGCTGTTCCAGAACAGTGTGTGCGTCGTCTTAGCGACTAAGTGGCTCAAGACGCGTTAGCGGGCGCGGGTGCGGCGCGGGCTCACTGGGCGGGGCTGCGGGGCTGCGGCGCTCCGCTATCGGCACACCGAAACACACATTTTTCCCGCCGCAAACCTCGCGCCGAGGGTTAGCCGCGACCCGCAGACCTCGTTCAGAAAGAACGAGACACCCCATACTGACGTCTCTTTCTTACCCTCACACGCCTGCGCTCAAAGATTTTCCAGCGCGGCAACTTTTGACAGTTTGTAACACAACTTTTGGCAAACGGACGAAGAACCTTTCTTCGTATCGCCTTCGGCTTTATTATACACAGTACCGTGCAGTACAACAAAATATTGTTATTATTAAGAACCTGACCAATATTTAATTTTATTTAGTTGCCTAGTCGTAAAATAACTAAGAATACTGATAAATAAAAAGAAAGAAAATGCAAGAAGTATGTGGTAAAATTAAACATTCGAAAGACTAATCATACTTGCTTTTATTTGTTCAAACTTTAAAATTCTTTGCTACGGCGTAGCGGCGTAGCATCTTGCTACGAATTCGTTGATGTTTGTAGTAACGCTGTGTAACGCATAACCATTTCAGACCAGAAGATGCCACTGAACTTATTTACAGAAAATATACTAACAGGAATGTAGTAAGTGCCTAAATATTATTGATAAGCCTTAATATTGTTGCTGGAGACCACAAAACAGATTATATCAAATCATATTTACGGCTGTCATCACATGAAATCCAAACAAACAATGGTATGGAACTAGTTGAAGTTGCGAGTGGGCGGTCGACCACAAACTGCTCGTAGCTAACCCGAAACTTACATGGCATGTGGCCACAGAGCGGTGTGAGCGGTGTGAGCGGTGCGGGTAGGGCATATCAAAACAAAACGGGCAGCGATACGGGCGAGCTAATCACGCGGTCGGTCCGCTGACAATTTGCAGGTTAGCCGCGACCGCCGCTGCGGCCGGCCCGGCGCCCGACACTTGCGTACACGTCATAAAGTTACGTTTACTTACTATCGGCCGCCCGCACTTAGTACTCGCGTCATCACTCCAGCATTTGTTGAAAACTCCTCTAAACACTAGTTGACTATTAAAGTTAGTTTTCTCTTATCTACCGATCTTCATTTGCTGTCTCTATACCATTCATCATCCGTACCAGCCACCCTAGCTCACGACGGAAGGTGAACAACATAATTGTTACTCCTTTGCTGTTGCGGGCGATCATGGTTGATCAGGTGATCCGTCTGCTCGTTTGTCGGCCTATATCGTGAAAAAATCATCACGTATTTATGTATCATCATCATCATCATCGTCAACAATCTATAAATGCCCACTGCTGAGCAAAGCCTCTGCTCACACTGAGAAGGTTGGAGTATTAATCCCCATGCTTGCTCAATGCGTGTTGGCAATTTCTAACTTATAATTAGAAATTAAAAGCCCAGGGCCTTTAGCCAAACGCCACTTTAGCGCTTGTCTACAGAGAGAGTAGAAATCAAAATGTATGGGGATGACACTGACACGTGTCAAAATTTACGTCAATTCCATATAATTTGGTTTTCTATTCTACATGTAGACAAGCGCTAAATGGCATTTGGCTACAGCTGCTGGTTTGCTCACAATGTTCTCCTTCACCGTTTGTCAGTGGTGTCTAAATAATCTTAGAAAGTACATATATGTAACTCGGAAAAAGTCACATTCGTACTAGCCTACCTAAACCTACTAACAGGTTTCGGATCTGCACCGTCACGCATGAGAAGCGGGCAATCAAGTATAAAATACTAAAGCTTTTACTAGTAACTCAAAGAGAGTTCACAATAACCTGTGCTAGTGGAATAAAACTTCAATAAACTAGAAGAAGAAGCAAAATTAAGGCACTAACGACCCTTCGAGTCGCCATACAATGCTGTAAAAAGCATCTGTGGCAAGCAATTGGCAAAAAATTGCCTGCAAACACTAGAAACTGCTTCGTAGTCTCTACATAACAGTCATACCCTTTAGAATCGAGATATTCCCCGAAAGGGTAACAAACATACACTTAAACAATGAAATACCAACTTACCACCCGTTATGTTATTAGTCCTAGGATAATAAAGGATATTATTATACAATATGTAACAAAAACCTTGTTTTTCCTTTCAGGGACATATACGTTTATCTACAAGCACATCGTTATAGATATTATAATTAAAAGAGTAATCAATGGCTAGTTGAGGTGTCAAAAACACATAACTATTAAAATCGACCATATTCAAGAAATTGTTTACAACATCAGAATAAAAAAATTAATAGGTAGATTTTTTATGTTGTCTAACCTTCATGCAGAGATAAGAAATCATTTAAACATTAATAATTAAATATTTAATTAAAATTTACAATTTTTATAAATCACTTGCCTTATTACGTCCGTAGCCGATTCTTAAAACGTAGGTAGAAGGAACAAAAGGTTTTTGGTTACATATTGTATACAGCTGCAGAGTTTCTTTGTTTGTTTGAACGGATTAATCTCCGAAACTACTGTTCCGATTTTAATAATTATTTTTGTTTTGTATAGTGCATTTATTGAAGAAGGTTATTAAATGAGGGGGTGAAACCGCAAGGAAGCGGTAAAGGATAAATCGAGACACAATTCTAGACTTTGTAGTATTATAGAGATTTACACGACAAATCAGTAGTAGTTATCTAATTCTTTTTCTGACCCGGGATCGAAGTCAAAACCTCTTTTCCGACCAACAACCCAGTCATAGTAACTTAGTACGAAAATACCATAACAATCGACATACGGTACAAAGCAAACAGTCACTGAATAAATAACTTGACACTTGTTCGCAAATAAACAATTTAAAATGTCAAGAATATGCAAAGGGCACGCAACCCAACCCTTCTTGCCGACATTATGTTTTCTGACAACCAATTTTAAAGCTGTTTTGCGTTTCCGTAACCTACTGTTGTAGACTTTTACAGATGTTAATGTGTTGTTGGAATGACGCTTCTAAGGATTATTTTATTGTATATCATTATAGGGTACTTTATAATCTATACATATGTATAAGAATATAATTTAAACTGTCAAACACCAAGCGGTCACCGGTGACCGCAACCTATTGTTCTATAATTGTGTCTACAAAACCGGTACTCGACGAGTTAATAGCATTAAAGTTAAGAAGTTAACGTACGTTTAATTCTAGATTAG